TATTAAATGTAAAATATCTATAATAGCTTTACTTTGACAAACACTTAAGATTATGTTTTTTTTTTTTACAAGATATTTTAGTAAATTTTGAAAACTAATGCTAAAGTGCTTTGGACACATCTCACTGCCAAGCACGCGCCTAAAAATGGCAAAACACTCGTGCAGTGCCAAAGGCCAAACTTCACGGTCACGGAGCTCAGTATTGAAAAAGCCACAGAACATGGCTACGGAAAATCGGTTTTCCAGCGAAATGCCTCAATTTCACCAGACACAACTTCGGGTCGAGTGGAGTGGAGTGGAGTTGAGTGGAGTGCAGTGCAGTTTGCCTTGTCCCGGGCTGCCATGTGGTCGTTGTCGTCGTCACTTCTTAATTGCAGCTCATGCATTTCAGCTCCGGAGAGACTGAGAAAAGTCTGGCCACGACGCCTTTCAAGTTCTGCTCACGGCCAATTGTTTGTGCAGACAACTCTTGAGCAACCACACCAGCCAGTTGACGGTTTGATGGCACAAGTGCTTGGGCCCGGGCCACAGATACCTTGTTTGCTCTGCTAATGAAACGACCGAGGAATGACTGTGCAGCTCCCACGGATGGAGGCGAACTGGGCAGGCGGCACTAGAACCCTGGGCATCACGACTTTCCCTGGCAACTCGGTTTCGTCCACCGCCACAACGCCCACAACGAAAGTCGAATGCCCAAAGAATCAATTAGCATTAAATCAAATTTTTAATAGCCCGGCTTGGACAGCGATAGACAACGCCCAGAAAGCCATGGAATGGATTGAGTTCAGCCGCTCAAGCGGTTCTTAAACTCCGAGTTCGGGGCGTGGCTGCTGTGATGGCACTTCGAGATGTGGTGGTCAGTCCACCACATCTCTTTCTTAATAGAAATCTTCGCCTAAGGGTCTGCGGAACTCACAATTGGATGGCCCATTCTTGGTTATGTTTATGGGCCAATTCAAAAAGATGAAGAAGCTTAGGCAACAAACTCATGAAATGGAAAATGTAGAGAGAGGTGAGAGAAATATTTGGTAGGGATTTGTTCAGATGGGTTGTCTAAGATTTCTTTAATGGCTTTTGGTTGTGATCGTATGAATGGCTTTTGGATTTCTTGAAAAACATAAGTAGATTTCAATAGGTATAGTTTGAAATTCACAATTTGTTTGTATGTTTGTACAAAAACTAGATCTTTTGTCACACTCCAACATTGGGAAAGGCATAAATAAAGGCCTATAATAAAAGGCCTGTAAAATATATATTTGCATACCTATTAATATAAACAAAATATTTATATTTAAATAACAATACTCGGCGGAAAAATAAAAAGTTACTGCCAAGTAATTCCCTTAAATTTAAGCTACTGAATGAAGTTAATTTTTGATTTGAATTGTCATTGAAATTCGTCTTCCTGCCAAAGCTGACTATTTGAAAGCCATTACATAAATATATTTATGGTGAAAACACAGCAAATTGTCTCCTGCCTTTTGAGCAGACCATTAAATGTTATTATTACGTAATCAAGCCCACTTAAAGTGCTCAGGGCACACATGTCGTATGCGCAATGTTTTGGTACGTGTGTTAAATTTCGAAGTCGAAACAGAAACAGAAACAGAAAATTGTCGCATTTCATAAGCAATTATCTTCGCCAGCTTTGCCCACATTAGACGCGAGCAGGCGGACTTAATTTCGGTTTCTGCCTTTGGCCAAGTTGGGAAACAGTTGAAAAGTGCAGCGAAATAGAAAGTGATTTCATGTCAGCAATTTGGAGGCGCTGAGATCGCCAAATTGAATGGAGCTCAAGTTGACTTTGAGCTGGGTGGAGGGAGAAGGCATTGCCGACTGTGTGGGTTGGGCAGAAACTGGAAACCTTGCCAAAAAAAAACCAAGAGACAGGGCACAAGTCGTGCGTCCTCGCTGGAGTAGCGCTCGAATTAGAGTGGGCAAGCTCTGGAACTAATGACGACTGTTGCTGTTGTGTCCATGTTGTTGTCATATCGGGTGCATTCAACCCAACCCGTCTGGATATAGTGGCCAAGAGGGGCTGAGGATTTTACTTTCGTTGCGGCTTGGCCGTGAAAGTGTTGCATGCCCCGCTCCAAAGTGGAATTCAATTTTCGTACACCAAATTGCGTTACACATTCAGCCAGCTATGTCCATGTCTGGAAATTTCACAGCCGCCGGCTCACTTTTACCATCATTTTACCACCCCAATCAAAATCGCAATCTCAGACTCGCTTTGCAATCAATAAAATCAAAAGGAAAACTGGAAAATTAACAATTCGAGGCAAGGAAAGTGAAAACTGTGTCGTCGCCTTTTGTTTTGCTTGCCCAAAAGGAAGCGTTAATTATATCAAAATCGCAACAAATGCCTGCGACGAAGAAAGTGAAACAAATATTGTGTGTTTCAATCAGAGTCGAGCCAGTTTAGCGACAGGTGAAAGTAAAATCTGTGCCAAACTTAATCAAAAAACCCCGAGACCCACAAAGACCCACCAATGGCACTCGGCAATTGGGTTAAGCTCAATAACTAAACGTGTTTCGGCGAGCGAGTGTGAATTATGATTGTTGTTCCAACCTTAAACTGGTTCTGGCCAAACCCCATAAAGCCCAAAGATGACATGCACTTGACAACCCGAAACCGTCGGAGAGTCATAGAAAGCCAACAGCAAATAAATCTTCTTGGGAAGGTGTCAAAGAATAGACGGGTAGCACTTGACTGCCGACTGAGATCTGTGTGATCGGTTGTGTTTGTCTGAAAATTCACAGCTCAAGTTTCGATGGTTTCGAATAATGTACTGAAATAAATAATACAAAATTGCTGTCATTCTGACCTAGTTTGATAAATAGGCACAAACAATCGTTATTTTAGGCTACTTAGATCGTTATACTTTTTTTTACATTGATAAAACATCAATTTTTAATGTATAAATGATGTATTCTTTTCATAAGAACAAGACTTCATTCCACTGACTTTTATTGTGCACTCGTAAATCCAACCAATTTGTACCCAACTGAAATATATTTCGCTTTGATTTTCATCTATTGCTTTTAGTTTTGTTTTTAAAATTGTTTATTGAATATTTTTGGAATTGATTCTTAAATAAAATGCATTTAAATGTTAAAAAGGCACTATGTTTAATTTAATATTTTCAACATTAATTTAAATATTTTAAATTCAATATTCATTGCATTTTATATTGATTTAATATTTAATTTAAATTAAATATACAATTTGAAGTTAATAGTCAGATATTTGCACTTTCTAATCTTTTATGTTAAAACAGAACACATTTATTCATATCCGGCTATATTTCTCTCCGTGTGATTGATGCCCAGATGAGAGTGGGAAATTGTAGCTTTAGATGCGATAAGGAGTGCCTATTCAAGATTTATTCGACCGACAAGGGGAGGTTCAAGTGCTTGTTCCCATTCGATTGCCATCTGCATTCTACATACAAGACGGCAATCTATATTTAAGTTGCTCATGGCGGGGCTCTTCTCATTTATCTGCCATATCCGAGGAAAATGATGGAAATCAGACGCATCAACGACCTCGGCCTGGCATCTTTTCAACGCTTGACGTAGCAATTTGTGAAATTCTTCGTCGGCTGCCAAGCGAGTGCAGATCTGGCCCCGCGAGGCCTGGTCTCTAAGCATCTGTGTACCGCTCAGCTTGTGTGCTGGTGCTGGGTACCCAGGGTAATCAGCAATGAGCCTTCGCCATTGTGACAGATGTGCTAGCCATCGGGTGCATCCACATACTAGGCTCGCAAACCCATAATTTCGAAGGAAAACCAACACAATTAGATGCAAAGAGAGTGAAAAGAATAGGGAAAAGACAAAGACCGCGACTCAGACTTGACATCGAAAGCAAATGACGCCTGGCCAAGCCTGCGACAGAGATTGAAACTGATCCGCGCCGACTTGGGCTGGGCTTTGTTTGCCCCCCAAATGCAAATGAATCGCGTTGACAATGACGGAGTGCCTGCCTGCTGGGAAGGGCAACCCATAGTGGAAGGGGCAGGTGCTGGTGCTTTTGCTGCTGCCGGTGCATGGGGCAAGTGGAAAGTGAAACCCCGATGTGATGACTCTCCCATTGCGATGATGGAGTCAAGGGAAACTGAACCTCGGAACTCGGCGCTCTTTTCACTGAAATCTTTCCCTTTCTTCTCGGTTTCTTGCGGTATTAAATGACATACAATGCAGAGGTCTTTGTAATATGCCTGGATAATAGATTGATCTTTTGATATAGATTTGATTGAATAACTTGTGAAAATGTGTCTTAATATTTGATTTTGTATAATTTTTCTTGTCATTTATACATGTATTTTACAAATACAAACCTAAAGTTGTAGACTAAGGATCCCAGTAAATATTAAATATTTTAAAATTGGTAATTTTGTCATAACCTTAGTTCTGGTTTATTTGTGCTCAAATTATGGGTATTAGATACACGGTACTTAATACAGTTCTTCTGCAATTCCTGTTTAGTTGCATATGTACATTAAGGAGTCAAAGCTAAAACCTTACTCCTAACTTCTAATATAATCACTTAGATGAAAACTAAAAAAAAATTTTTTAATTTTAAGGTGTTGCACAACATTTTCATAAACTCCTTAATAAATCTAACGATACTTTTTAAATTCAGAAAGGTATTAAAACAAAAAAAGGTAACCTTTTTCTAATCTGAAAAACTTGGGATTTGTTCAATCAAGAGTTAGAATATGGAAGAAGAAGAATATGTTGCCATGGCTAATTTCATTAATTAAAATTGGCTTTCAGGATCGTTAAGATCAGTAAGTTTAGTTTAAATGTATAATATGTTGTTTAAAAGAAAAAAACGGTCTTGGAAAAGTTGGAAAGTAGCGTCAACACTCAAATAATCAATGGTCCGTACATAGTCGTATCAACTAAAATTAAAATAACTTTTCCAAATTACTTGTTAGCTAACTTAAATCCAATTTACTAACATTTTGCAACATGTTCTATCCCCCGTTTTGCAGCTGGCCAGCACGAGAGCATCTCGCAGATCTCGCCCAAGTCGAGCAGCCACCGCAGTCCGGCCCGCCTGAGCATCGAGAGCACCGTGGCGGACTCCATCAACGGCCTGGCCGAGAGTGCCCCCTCGCCCCGCGACCCCAACGAGAACGAGACGCGGGCGGAGCGGGTGGAGCGCTCGGCGTCGCCCATTCTGCACGATCGCCAGCCCGCCGGACCCAACGACGTGCACTTCCCGGAGGAGCTGGAGAAGGACGTGTCCGCCGGGCGGTACTTTCACTACAACATCAAGCCCACGGGAACGTACGACAACCAGGAGGAGCAGCCGGAGCGCACACACCAGGCGTCCGGGATCAGGGTCGGGAAAACTCTGTCGCGGATCAGCAGCAGCACTGGCAGCACCACTGGCAGCAGCTCAGAGCAGTCTTTTTTAGGGCGGGGGGACCTGCGACCGCTTGCGTCGGGGTCCCCGATCCGGCCGAGTCCGAGCAGTACTGCCACCTCGTCGACGGCGGCCAGTGCCACGCAGGCGCCGCATAGTCCGCGCCAGAACGGAAACCCCGACATCCAGGACATCATCACGGGCATCGTGAAGCTGCTGAACGGCAACGTCAATGTGCACGCCAACACGCAGGGCGTGCGGCGACCTTCGGCCAGCAGGATCAACAACCGCGGTCCGCCGCGCATCTCCGAGGCCCAGAACCTGCCCATCGACTACGAGGCCCAGAAGCCTGGCACCTCGATGCGGCCGCCCCCCTACCCCTTTGACCGTCCGGAGCGTCCCTTCATCACCGGCGTGCCCATTCCCGAGCAGATTGTGCCCGTGCGTCCGGGCTTCGTGAGCAACCGTCCGCCGTGGTACCGCAACAAGCCACGCCCACCCATCGCCACCAGTGTGGGCGGCAACCGGCGACCCCTGCCCCAGTACAAGCCCCTTCCAGCTCCGCAGGTGCAGTCCCAACCCTCCATTCCAGCCCAGGATCAAGCGGACAAGGAGAAGGAGAAGGAAGCGAGTCACCAGGGGGAGCAACAGGTGCATCAAACGGGAGACGACATGGTGCAACCCACCGATACCACCTACGACTCGGAGTTCTCCAACGAAGATGCCAATGCCCAGTACATCGAGGTCTCCGACCAGGACACGGATGCCACTGGCGGTGGCGAGGTGGACGACGAGCTGCAGCCGCCTCCCGTCCCGCCCTCTACCACGAGCAATCCCCCAACGCCCCCAACAACACCCTCGAAGAAGAAACACAAGCCCAAGCCCGGAAGTGACAAGAAGAAGCTGTCGGAGGAGGAGGACGTCACCACCATCATTGAGACCAGCTCGGTGGTGCACACCGTGATGGGCATGTCCTCCACCTACGTGCCCATGTCCATGGACAGTGCGGAGAGCCTCGGTCTGGATCCCTCCACCGAGGAGGTGATCTTCATGACCGCCAATCGCACCCCCGGCCTGGACACCAGTGCCACCTCCTTGCTGGGCATCTCCTCGGCCTCCAGTTCGGCCTCGGCCATCCGACCCACTACCACTACCTCGACCACCACCACCACCAGTACCACCACCAGTACCACCACCAGTACCACCACCAGTACCACTACCAGTACCACCACCAGTACCACTACCAGCTCCACCACAACCACCACCCCGCCATCAACTTCGAGTTCCACCGAAAGTGCGCCACCTAATAGTTCCAATGCTAACACCACTCCGCCCGCCCCCTACCACCCCCGTCCCGGGATAGTCCTCGACGACCCCGAGTTCAAGCCCGGCGGTCGGCCACGCCCACCCGGCCAGCGGCCGCCTCCCCAGCAGACCATGCCCCTGCCGGCGGTTCAGCCCACGCGCCAGCATCTGCCGCCCGGCTACGGGGAGATCTTCGACGTGACCCTGTCCGCCATCCAGGGCCCGGGGCCCAAGGGCAGTGGCTCCCAGCAGACGATCAACATCAAGCCCTACGGCAGCTACGCGGCGGGTGGAGGTCAGGGCGACATCATCGTGTCGGCTTCAGGTGACGACGGCTTTGTCTCCATCGACGGCAAGCGCACTTACATCAATCTCTTTGGTGACCCCACAGATCCCCCAGCGGGGGGCCACGACCCCGGCCACCCGACTTCCCCAGCTGCCAGGCACTGGCTCGGGATCAGGATCAGGATCTGGATCAGGATCGGGATCCTCACCAGGAGTGAGTGTTAGTGGTGGTGGTTTGCCCAGCTCCCCTGCTGTGCCGCCCAACGCGGTAACTCAGAGCAGTGGAGGCTATGTGGTGCCCGAAACGGAGGTGGTGGACCTGCAGGGGCACAGCAAGCCGCAGGGCGGATCCCCGACGACGAATGCCGGACCCACGCGACCGCATTACCGCCAGCGACCCACGCAGCCGCCCGTGAGGATCGACACCTGCATTGTGGGCGACGACTCCACCTGCGACCAGGCCCAGCACGAGCGCTGCAAAACGGACAACGGTGTTTCTAGCTGCCACTGCCGACCAGGTGGGTTCTCGAGGGGGGACATTCCCAGCAGGGGGCTTCATTCCCACCCAACTCATTCTGTTTCCCCACAGGCTACTCGCGACGCAAGCACCGGGAGCCGTGCCGACGGGTCATCTCCTTCCATCTGGGCATGCGCGTGGACCGCATCTACGAGCACAGAATCGTCTGGGACACCAAACTGATGGACAAGCACAGCGAACCCTTCGGCCAGCTCAGCTACGAATCGATTCGGGCGGTAAGTCACTGTTTTTTGGCACAGGTCTTCTTAAGAGTTATTCGTTGGTTAATCCTTATAAATGCTGTACAAATCTATCAAATCTGTGAACAGGAACAAAATTGGACGAACAGCATAGATATTTAAATAACACTTTTTTTCACTTGTGGGAGATGAAACATTTTAATGATCCGTTGGACAAATTATTTTATAATTTAATTGTATCCACAAATTTAACAAGCATTTTAAGTCATTTTAATTTAATTCACCATTAATTGTGTTGAACTTGATTTCCTAAAGATGATAAAATAACATAAAAACAAGATTGTTAAAAAGGTGGATACTTATTTGGTATTCATTCATTGAAAACTATGTTTAATTTAGGAAATTGGCCACGCACACTTTAAGGGGTCTAACCAGTGTAACACCCGAAAAAATTCTATAGAATTCTATAAAATTTTTTTCTGAAGAAAGTACTAGGTAGAATGTTTTTTTACAAAAATATTTAAAAATATCGGGATTTCTGGCCGTACTCAAGTACTCAAATTGCTGACATGATTCCGGTCGAATCAGTGGGTGAAATAGGAAAAATTCAAAAAGATTATGAAAGCTAAATATATTTACCCAATATTTTTAAAAAACATCAAATATCAACAAAATGGCATTGGTTAGAAAAAAAGGGGTTTTTTGGGTTGAAAAAATTATTTTTTAAATTCTGCCAAATGGACAATATTCAACAAATCCAATGCTTGAGTGTTATTTTGAAACCGACTGGTCAAGTTATGATGTCAGCAGTTTCCAAAAATTAAATTTCGAGATAAACGCGGATAAAGTTGCAGCGATCGGTCGCTCTTTAGAACTGTTATTCAAAAACTGTTTAGATACGACCTTGCCGCTTTTAAAGGATATTTATGATATTGTTATCGATTTCTATAAAAAGTTCCACTGGTATAGCCCCTTAATGCAAGCAAATTGTATTTTTGAACGGTAAATATTTATTTCATTAATATCTAAAAAAATAAATTTCAAAAATTAGTTACATAGCGTCAAAGCTAGCCCATAAACAAACCTTCCCGCTAGATGGTGCCACATATTATTGTTTGCCGCGCCAAGAGAATTGCAAGTGGCTCCATCTGTTGGCACCATAGTTGATTTGAAGTCGACTAACGAGTAACTATAGCGAGAAACAAGTACTGTAAATAAGACGTATTGTCTTATTTCTGTTGTTTCGAAAAGAGGAACAGCTTTTAACATCGACTGACGCTTAGCATTTGTGTATATATATGTATAATCATATATAATACTCCCTTCCAGTTGGACTCTGCCATGTCAATGACGCCCTACTCGGACGAGTTTATGGAGGCGAAGGTGAACAACATCTACCGGGGCGATCCGAACCTGGGCGGAAGCGGCGTCTATGTGAACTTGACCATCAAGGTATGATGCTCTAAATTACTCCTTAACAAACATTATACATTTTCCCTATCCGAATCCAGCTGGACGAGAGTGTGGAGACTTTGCGACCCAACCTGCGCAGCGACGTCCAGAAGCACCTTCTGGGCGTTCTCCACCGGCGGAACAACAACATCGGCAACTCCGTGTTGTACGTGAGCTCCCCGGAGGGAGCGGTCTCGGCCCTCCAGGACCTGGATGAGTGCCAGTCGCCGGAGCTGAACGACTGCCACCCCGGGGCCAGCTGCAGCAACACCTGGGGCAGCTTCCGCTGCGCCTGCGAGGCGGGCCTGCGCGATCCGTGGGCTGACCAGCCGGCGCGGTCCGGACGCGAGTGCCAGGCTTGCGCCGACTCCGTGTGCAACAACCACGGCACCTGCAGTTACGGCGATGACGGCGCCCAGCTCTGCTCCTGCGACTCCAGCCACTATGGCGCCCAGTGCGAGATCGACGGCGAGGTGCTGGGCGTGGCCATCGGCGCCTCCGTGGCAGCCATCATCATCATCGTCCTGACCCTGGTGTGCCTGATCATGTGGTCGCGGCGCTGGCAGCGCGAGCAGAAGAACGCCATGGGCTCACCGGTGTTTGGGTACATGAACACAGCGCCGCTGAAGTCCGCCGGTCTGCCCCAGGCCGGCTACCAGGTGACTCTGGAGGACCGCATGCGCTGGGCCCAGATAGCCGACGTCATGGCCCAGACGAACCACTACGGGGTAGGTAACTGGCGGTCATCCAGTGACGATCTTAAAAGAAACGTATTTTCCTTGGTTGAAAACAAAATTATAATTACAATTTATGATCACAAAATCTATTTGGCCAGCTCGTTTGTTAACAGTATAAGCGATAGAGTTACCGATTTCAAACGTAGTTTATACCATGTATGTATGCTATATGCTATATAATTTATAAGCTAGTTGCTGTGATATTTCAAACAGCTAGATTTTAAAGTAAGCTGAGCCCCAAAATATTCACAATCAAAATAGTTCAATAATATCAAACTCAGTTTCTGTTTGAGCAAGAAGCTTTTTATATTTATTATAAATTTATTATTTTGTATTTGTTAAACATTATGTAAGAGGTTGAAGAAAGAGCTCACGACCCTATAAAGAATAGTTCAATACTCATGTCCGTTTGTCGATGCAGATTCTAGTTACGCCCACGCAAGTGTATTTCAAAATGTGGCCATGCTTACTCTAACATACACAAATCGCGAAAGTCCGCAATGTCAGATTGAGATATAGTACAGGTCAGTTATAACGCTGTATATTCAAGTATACTCAAAGAGCCCATTGACTTCACCTTTAGCAAAACAGTTAAAATAGCTCAGCTTCCAGCTGTTTACGATGACCAAAATTAAGGGTTCATTGAAATCTTAAATCAATCTTTCTTTCGGAGCTGTGAAATATCATGTTGCAATAACAAACTGATCTATAAAATGTGGTTTTGAAATTATTTTGTAAAGTAATTAAAATTTATATCGCACATACTTCAGAGCATTAATAGTCTCTTCTGTATACGACTGGTTTTTATTTGTTTTTAAAAACTGGGCTGGTGTCCCCAATATTGCCGAAAATGGTTTATTCTATTGACCGCTATTTCTTAAGCCTGGATTGTTATTGGCAATTTTTGTGTGGCTACTATCATACTCTCGTTGTTTTTGCTCAGATAATCAAATATTTATTTCGAACATACAAAATACAATTCGATACGCTTTTTTAGTATTTTAAAGAAGTTGAGTGAGCGTGTGCCTGTAATGTTTGCCAGGTTTGATCAATACAATTTGACATGAGCATTTTAAACAGTTTTTGTTCTATCAATTCTCTACATATCTATCGACTCATATAACAAATTTTCTGATTAAATCATTATTTTGGAAGTTATTAGCATAAATGTATATTTTCCGGCATGTTACGATTTTTTTGGGTGGTACGAGGTTGCTTGTCCTTAGGTGTTATTGACCCTGTAGTTCGGCAGATGGCGCCACCTAAAGCCCGATGGGCAAATTTAATTTGAGTAATAGGTATCTTATAGTCGGGGCATTCGACTATAACTTTCTTCTTGGTTGGGTTTCATATTTTAAATATTTTATTTTGAACTTTTCTAAGCACTAATTTCTAATTGCATTTCTGCACCAGCAGGCTGAGCCGATCGGACCCACTCGCCCCTCCTCGGCGATGTTTGCGTACCCCAACCTGGGGGCCATGGGCATGGGCACCCTGGGCGGGATGTCACTTCAGAGCACCATGCAGATGCATCCCAGTGCCACTCTGGCCCCTCCCGTGCCATTGCCCAGGTATGAACCGCTTGCATATATCCTGTTTTATACCCCCTTCTGAGTCTGTTTTTCTTTGACTTAGAAGACTTGGCCTGGGTCCCCGCTCAAACGGAATGCGGACACTGGAGAACTCCAGCTCCAGCGAGGAGGAGGACCGCGCTGATCTGCTGGGTCGCAACTTCCAAGTGCCACGCCCCAAAAGTCGCAGCAACGGCAGCATAGCGGTAGGAAACAAGTTCCTCGTCCCTAAACAAAAAAAAAGCGAACTTTAAAAGAGTTCGTATTGCTGGTGGTAGTTATTAAAATCAGAATCATTATTTTAATATATGTACACGAAACATATATTTGAGTCAAATTCTCCAAAGTCGGAGAAAGTTTTGAGTTATACGACATATGTTGTATGGTTAGTGATAAAAGCTAAAAAAGCTGCGCTAGCAAACATCATGCGTTAAATATTCATATCCTATCAATTAAAAATTATTAAATATTGAGTAATTGCCTCACAAATTTTATAAAGACTGGGTTAAAATTTCCGTTAATCTGTTTTTTTTTTAGCTTATCTGATTATTATCTGATTTATGAATTTATTGCTTTGCGATTAAATCCAATATTTTATCATAGAGAACTTTTACTTTGCTGTAAAAAATTTAATGAGTAAAATTCATCGGCACTCGTTTAATTTGTTTTAAGAATCTGCATTTAATCGTCCATGTTCTTTCTATTTTTTTAAACAGAACCAATCCGGCATCTATTACGATGTGGACTACGAGCCGTCCGGCAATGGGATCGGCAACTCGAGCGTGGACCACCTGTACGGGTCGCACAACCAGTCCGTGACGCACTCGTCGGGCCACAGCCACATCCCGGGACCCCAGGGCATTCCGATGAGCACGTACACCTCCGGTCGGGGTCCTAGCAGCTACTACATGAAGTGACCATTGGCCGAACAGAATCCACAACCCTGTACATACGCAACCTAGGCTAAGCCGACTAACACTAAAACCCTTTTCCACTGCAGTCCCCGCGGCGACTGCAGCTGAGACGCGTTTTGAAGAACCCCTTTTTAGCATGAGAAACGTAGACTTAGGACTATCCGTAGGTTCCATCTAGATGTACACAATGCAAGCAACAACTAATCATTAATTTTAAAGCCTACTTTAAAAATTTAAATTATTTCACTGCTGTCCACTCAAAGTCAAGTCCCATAAAATAGTTGCTTAGTTTATTTTAACTTAATTAAATAAAATAAATAAAATTTTACATAATGCATTAAGTTTACAAAGCAAGAATGTCTGTTTATGTATATAAATAAATAAAAAATCTAATTTTACTGTGAATATGAGGTTTTTGTAGTTTTTTGAATAATGGGCAGGCGATAGAAGTAATTAATTTACATATATATACAGTTTGACAACTTACTAATCAAATTTTAAAAGTTGGCGCCTGGTGCTCACAAAACTGTAAGTCTTCGAAGTCCGTAGCTTTATCTCGCTCTAACTTACGACCATAAGGAAACATTGATAAGCACGGGTGTAAGAGCGAAGCAACTACTGCCGGCTTGTGCGAGCGAGACGACTAGCGTAACATTTCGATTGGCGCACAATTTGAAATTATAAATTAAGAACTTAGGAAATACTTATTTGTTTAGACTGCAAAGTCATCGAAACTGGAAGCACTACAGTTATAGACATTATTCTTTGTCCCTTATTCTCTCCGTATTCGTGTTCGCAAATTTTCTTTTGATTATATACTATTTAACTGCAGCATTGTCGGCAATACATTGTAAGCCGGTGAAAATTAAATCTGCTAGCGACAGCCACAAAAAGTGGACGAACACTCTGTGCTTTATATAAGAATAAATATTTTTAGTTTAACAAAGAAAAAACAATTTATGATCGGACGACTATATCATCGATCAAAAAATTATAACTTTGCCGGTTTTGTTATTTTTGTTTTTCAAAGTTTTTCAATATGTAGAAACTGTTTATTGTTTCTGAATTGTGGTTTAAATTTGATTAAAATCGAACGACTATATTACAAAGCTCCCATGAGAACGATCGGAAAATTACAAATTATGCAGTTCTTTTGGATCTAGTAATAACAATAATAATTCAGAATTACACTTTTAATTGTTTTAAATCGGAGAACGATGTCATATAGCTGCCATATGAACGATCGAATAATTTAGCTGAAAATCAGTATAGCTTCATTGATTTAAACATATACGCATATAATTTGAAATTTGGATGATTTAAAGACTAATTCATTTTTGCAATAGCTGCAAGGGTATATAAACTTCGATATGCCGAAGTTTGCTTCCTTTCTTTTTTTCCAAAGTAAGTTCGTTGAATTGCCCAATTACGGCTACTAATTATAAAAATAACATTTTAAACGTATTTAATTATTTATACATTTTATTTAGCCGTGTGAACTAGATTTGTTTTTTAGTATAGGAACGTAATATTAAAAAAAAAAGTATCAGAAAATGTTTTTTTAATTAAAACAAGCGAGGATTTTTTCAAAAATACTCTGCCATGTTTCACCAAATTTTCGCTCTCGCCTTATTAATAATCACAGCGCCTTCCGTTGTTGATATATGAATTTTCACATTTCACGTAAAAAGAAAAAAGCAACTATTTAATTTATGACAATTTTCGGACGCTGCCTCCATCGCAGTTCACACGCATAAATAAGTTGAGGTAGCTGATAGAATGAAGAAAGTAATGATTGCGCGCTGCGTCTGCGTGTGGCATGTTGAAAACGCGATGGTGATGAAGTTTTCTTATGCAACACACAAGTGGTGGTAGTCGTGCCTCAGGCCGAGAAGCGAAGTTCCCACTTGCAGAGGGGATTTATAAAGCATAATTATTTTATTTCAGTAGATGATCTTTTGACGAGTTTAACGATTACCCAAAATAAGACTTTTGTTATATTTTACATTTTAAATAAAATACAAAAAGTAGTAAAAGTAAAATTTGTTAGTAGTTTATCATTATTTCCTAACGTTGAGCATACGAGTATATAAACCATCCAGTTCCCCCCAGTTTGGAAATTGAATTAAATGTTACAGATATGTCACACCACGATTTATTGAAAGCCCGTAGGGGGTAAATGGGTATGACAAGTCAACCGCTGAGCCCAACAGTTCGCCACCTGGGAGATCATCAATATTTGGCCATTATGTGTCGCTAATTTGTGTGTGGATGCGTGCGAAGTTCAATGCCGCACGGGGCTTCAAAGTGGCGCTCTGCCTAATTAATCGACATTCGCCAATTGATGCTGTTTTCGGCGGGGAGGTCGAACTCTGGGCCATCGGCACCTCGGGGCGCTTTAATTGCGCTTATTTAATAATTATTACCAGTTTGCGGTGACTAGTAGCCAGTGCTCTCGTTCGGCGCAAATTGCACAAAACCATGTTCACAGCGATCGTTTCATTACATCTGCAAACGGTGTTCGGCCCCCACTGTTGACCCATTTTCCTTTCATTTCACTTTTATGCGCTGCTCTTTCTGGCTTTTGTAGCAATGACGCTGCAATCTTTCAATTTCGTGCCATGGCATCCGAACAATCGTCCGTTCGAGCGCAATTCCAAGCAAATCACGTAGATGAAGCGGCGTGGCCATAAAAAAAACTCAGCACAAATTCCATTAGGTTCGATTTGCCATTGTTGAGCAGTTTTTAGCAATTTGCGCTTGTTATTGGCCCACATTATGTCACTGGGCCGGCATTTATTGATTGCGATTCAATTTGGCCTTCGCGCCTTCGGAGGTGTCAATCCGTGTGGTAAAATAGGATTACGGGCCCTTTGAGATTCTGATTTGGTTTGACACCTCTATCAAATATTTATGGGAATAGTCATAGACTTGGTCAAGAGAAAATAGACAGACTACTATCATTATGACATAATATGTAGGTCAGGGGGTTCCGTTCAAGGAACCCAACAAATCAAAGCTCTTAAGAGTTCAGTTGGCTTCAAAGCAATAGCAAGGAAATATTTTAGTTGATCAATTCTTCCTAATTTTGAAGTGGGCAATGTGTCGGCGTGGGTTAAGGTTTTAACATGGAAATCCATTATAGGAAATGAAGAGTAATTTATCTATTATTTCATTTGTTTATATTTCTTGTACCAAACTCACAACAATTCGCCAACAACTAAATAGCATGGTATAAACCTTGAGAAGACGACGTGTTTTAAATGTACATTTTCTTAGAACAAAAGTTTTTTACTTATATATTTAAATATTTATATACATTTATAATTTATTTTTTGATTTTCTTTTATTATTTTTGGTCGAAATATTTATATTTTTGATCAATATCAAAATTTAAAATCTTAATTATAATTAAATTATAATTATAGAATTTACTTATAATTGTAGTTACTTTAATTAAATGGACACTTTTGGCAATATAACATTTTTTTTCAAAATAAAATGTAAAGGTAATCATACAATCTGTGTGGTAAAATAGAATTACGGGCACTTTGAGATTCTGATTCGGTTTGATACCTCTATCAAATATTTATGGGCATAGTCAGATCAAAAAAAACTTGGTCAAGAGAAAATAGACAGACTCGGAAACTACTATCATTGTGACATAACAGGTCAATGGTTGTGTGTGTGTAAGGCACTTCCATCAATTTCCAAAATAAGACTGCTCTTGTCAATTGTTGATGACCATGACGGCATTTTTGGTTGAAATACCAGTTGTAATTATTCCCTGAGGAGATGAGGAAGCGGTGAGAGGTTTAAATCAATTCGAAAGGTCATACATTTTTGAGGGCTTGGTAAAAAAAGGTAATGGCAGACCATCTTAATAAATATAACGCGAAACTTTCGCAAATCAAATATTTGGCTAAAAATCAACAAGTCTCTTTACATTGCATCATCGCACTCGAAAAACCTTTGATGCACAACTAAAAATAAAAGTGATTTGCCCATAGATTACACTCAAAACAAAATTTGACTATCTCCCCGAACCACCCTCGTACTTTGCGTTACATCATCTGTGTCGGGAACCTTTTGGTACACAAGTATTTCGTTCAAGGGCAGACCCACGGGGCAATACCCCCCATTGGACACCCCCACAATTTGTGTCGCATGCGTTTCAAGCGGGGCTCCTGCCAAACCGCGTAAGCCGAATTGCGAAGAGCGCATCGTTAAAAGCAATCCGTACAAAGCTGGCAATTACCGGTTGGCTGTTACCTGTTACTTGTTACTTGTTACCTGGGCCCCCTCGGGGTTCCAGCTACATTGTTGCGTCTTTGGAGCGGCAATGACAATGCCGAAAGTCCGCAGGTGTTGCAAGCAATAACTCAATGCCTCAGTTCCTCGGGAGGGGTGGCAAGTGGAGGGTGGAAGGCTGGGAAGTGGGCGGAGGCACCGAGTTCGGCACCGGTGTCGTTTGTCATAATTGGGCGCGCGTGGAAGATGCGCGTTTGACTTCCTTGTTGGCATTGTTGTCACATGTCGCCAGTTGCCTATCATCGTGTCGCTGGGCCTGTCAATCTGAAGTAAATGAGCAAACAACCGCAAAACGGTAAAAAAAATGTTGGACAAGAAAATGTTATTATATTTGTCATAGTTAACCGTTCAAGGAACCCAATAAATCAGAGCTCTTAATGGGTCAGTTGGCTTCAATGCAACAGCAAAGAAATATTTGAGTTGATCAATGTGGGCAATGTGTTGGCGTGGCTTGAGTCTGAAGAGTAATTTATTTGTTACTTTATTTGTTTATATTTCTTGTACCAAACTCATAACAATTTGCCAGCAACTTATTAGCTAAACATGCTAAAATAAACCATGAGAAGACGACGTGTTTTAAATTTTCTTAGTAAAAAAGTTTTTTACTTATATATTTAAATATTCCTAAGCAGACTTGCACTTGCAATTTTGTATACTCACTTTTGTCAATATTCTTGTGCATCATTTGAATCTATAAGTACGTAATTTTCTCTCTTAAGGTGTTATATATAAAAATATTGCTTTTAAATACTCAAATGTTAGAAATTGTATAAAGTGTACTAACTTACTTACTTAATTTTATGTTTTATTTTAATTTTTAAAAGTTTTATCTAATTTTAAGTTTTAAGACGATTAAGCCTTAAGAAGTACATATATAATCGCTTTCTCCTATTATTTTTGGTCAAAAATTTAAATTTTTGATTAATTATTTTTATTTCATAGATCAGGATTGATCAATATCAATATTTTAAATCCTTGATAAATAAAATAAATAAAATATAAGTATTTAGAATTGCAGTTACTAAAATTAAAAAGAAACTTTCGGATATTGAAAACTACATTTAAAGTAAGCATACAACTGGTACATTTGATAA